GTCTCTGACAACTTCACAAAACAACAGTGTGCCCAGAGCTGCCTACCTCCGGATTTTTAACATGGAAGAAGAAATCTCACTGTTAAGCCATGGTTACATTTTCATTTTAAACAGCTGAATCTGATGCTAATTGATACAGTTCCTTCCAAAAGCCTCTCTCCCCGGGAGATGCCAGATGCTGCCATCACTTTGGAAGAGCAGAGATTCAGGGGAGGTAACAACGATGACAGAAGTTCCTAACTCTCGGTGCTTCCTCTTTGCCCTGTCCCTCGCGCTGACAGGGAGTCACTCCCTCTTCACTTGGCTTCGGAGACACCACATTTTTGCATTTTTCTCCCCACCTCTCTTCCAGTCCTTTTCAGTCTCCTTTGCTGGATCCTCTTCCTCTTAACAGCCCTAAGTGCCAGAGTCCCCCCGTCCCGGGACTCTGATCCCTGACGTCCACTCCAAATAACCTCCTCTAGTCCAAGGCTTCCAGTGCCCACTCTACTCCATGCCCAGACTCACACCTCCAGCTTTCTCCATTCACTAGAGACCTGCAGTCACACCGAAAGGCCTCACTTCACGTCCCCCCTTGAAATCTAACAGGCACCTCAAACATCATGTCCCTAACGGACAATTTTTATTTCCTCCACAGTTTCCGTTTTCTAGTACCAATAAATGGTGACACGAGTCAGCTGGTTGCTTGGGCCAGAAACCTAGTAGTCATTTAAGCACTGCTTACAAGGCAGCCCTCTTCCCCTCCCCGCCCAAACCAGGAAGTTCTCTTGGCTCTCTTTCCAAATGTGTTCTACTTGAATCACTCCACCCTCCCCCACCCGCCTCCACCACTGCTGTTCTAGTCCAAGATCACGAGTTTCCAAATTAGGTGCATACACCCAAGGGAGTTCCCAAGATGGCCAATTAGGTGCAAAAAAAAAAAAAAGTAGCACATCTATATTTACTGTTTATACCATTCTTTAAACATATTTTGATTTTGCATATGTTTTAAAATGGTACAAGTTATATTCACTTGGTAGTATACTCCGGTAGACGCATCTATCATTTCACACTACCCAATCTCTCCTTTTTCTTTGGCAAGAGAATTCCTATGTCTTCACTGGGCACAGGACCAGCCAGCTAACGACATTCCCCAGTTCCCCAGACTGCCTCAGCTAGGGGTGGCCATGAACTCAATGTGGCCAAAGGGGGTATGACTAGACATGATGCAAATCATGCGGGGTTGATCTCTGAATGAAATGTGCACTTTCCCTCTTTCTTTTCCCCTCCCACTTGCTATGAAGCAAGCAGAAATGGGAACACTTGTCTGCTCGACCCTAGGGAGTGCATTTTTTCTGTCATAAATATTTCAGTCTACCTTTACAAAAGATAGGGAGTGTTTGTAACACATAACCATGCCATTATCATCTAAGAAACTAATTGTTTAATATACTCAAATATTTAGTCAATGTTTCAATGTCTCCTATTTTTTTTTTGTTTGAATCAAGATCAAATAAGGTCTATGCACTGAATGAATGGTTCTTAAATCTCTTTAATCTCTAATTTTCCCTATCACCTCTCTTCACCCCCCCCATATAATTTATTGATGAAGAAACTGATCCCTGGTTCTGCAAAAGTCCCCACAATTTGCACCATTGCTTAACATGGTATGGGTTACACTGGCTGACCCCCCCTGTGAATCAGTCCAAATTCTTCATTTGATTTATTTTGAGATATACAGAATCAAGATGGTATCATTGGGAAAAACTCCAGAATTCAAAGACCTACATTTTAATTCTGTCTCCATGACTGAAGTGACTGTGGTTTGAAGTCACCCCACCTATAGAACCTGTCTCCTCACCTTAAAAATTAAATAACAGCTCCTGTCTGTCCGGCAAGTCTAGTCTAGAATGGTGGTGGTGAGGAGCAAATGAAACAGTGTTTGGAAGGGTTTGCTAAACAGTAGCAGGCTAGTCAGTGTGAGTTACTATGATTCTCTGATAAAGCATCAGTAAGTCTGCATCAGAAATTAACACTTGGGCCCTGACTGGTGTTGCTCAGTAGATTGGGCGTCTTCCTGCAAACTGAAAGATTGCCAGTTCGATTCCTGGTCAGGGCACATGCCTGGGGCATGTGAAAGGCAACTGATTGATGTTTTTCCTCACACATCAGTGTTTGTCTCCTTCTTTCTCCCTACCTTCTCCTCTCTCCAAAAATGAATTAAGTTTTCTTAATCTTTTTCTAAAAGATTCTGTAGAATCTTTTTCTAAAAAATTAAACACTTAAATCTTCTTTAAAAACGAACAAGATCCAGTATTTACATGTTTACCTTTATGGATTCCTATCTGTTATGATGCATGCAATTCCACAGAAAAATATTCAAAATTATCAGGGAGGTAAAAAAAGAGACCCTGGACTTTAAATTGCTGAAAAGAACCATTCAGATCATTAAGTTCAGGCCCAGCTCTGCAGAAAAGGAAACATCTGGTTACTGAATACCAAGCAGAGGGCCCCTGCTATATATATATATCTCACATGTCAACACACTCTCCAGGATCTAAAGGACCAAAGAACTATCTAGCTATGTGTCTCAAACTTTCAAAATCTACAATGTAATGTGAGCAATCAGTTTTGGGGGAGATTTAAAAAGATGGATCACAATTATTTAATGACAAACAAAAAGGGTTTGTTTTCTAATGCATAACTCTTATTTCCTATCAGTAAGAGGAATACTATGGTGATGATCTTTTCTTCAAGGTATCTGCAGGGAAGAACATTCTATATAAGCATTCAATGCTTTTTTAAATTATATTTTATTGATCATGCTATTACAGTTGACCTGATGTTTCCCCCTTTGCCCCCCTCCACCCAGCAACCCCCTCAGGCAATCTCCCCACCATTGTTCATGTCCATGGGTCATACGTATAAGTTCTTCGGCTACTTCATGTCCAATACTGTACTTCACATCCCCATGGCTATTCTGTAACTACCTATTTGTACTTCTTAATCTCCTCACCTCTTCACCCATTCCCCTACACCCCCTCCCATCTGGCAACCTTCTGGTAACTAACTGCTTTCCTCTTGCTTTTAAGAGTCTCTCTTTATCTTTCACCTTTGGCCTTTTAATAATGATGTGTCTTGGAGTGGGCCTCTTTGCATCCACCGTAATTGGGACTCTCTGCGTATAAGCACTCAATTCTAACGGCAAATGTTAAATGAAAACCATGCAAGGGCAGGATGCTTGAAAATCTCTTAAAATATTCCATGTAATTCTACAGAGGATCTCATTCAGAAATTATTTCCTTCAAGTACTTTGCCAACTGGAACACTGGGAGCTTTTGAAACTTTCCACTCGCTCACTCATTCTGCACACGAGGGGCCCCTGCTCCTCGGCGGCCACGTGCACCGCATGCATGCACACCGCAAGCATGCCCAAAGCTCACCAGTGTTGTTCCTTTGCCACTCCCACTATAAAGCAGCTACCTGCTGGAACTCGCACTTGGTTCCCACACACTTGGTTCCCACACACTTGGTTCCCACACACTCTGACAGGAAGTAAGCCCCACCCAAGAGGCGGGGTTAATACAGGAACTCTGCTCCAAGCATAACAACTGGCATTCACTGTACAGCTGGTTTTTAAATCTTCTCAGCAATTGTGTGACTTGTGCAAACAGTGCCACTTGGAGTGACACCTCTGTGGGGCTGGTCGTTTCTCTGTCTTTAGGGACCAAGTCCATGGGTTACAAATTGGAACTCATTTTGTATTTTTTCTGCAAATACTTTTTTACCTAAGAAATCACACTGGGTTGTCTGAAAATGAAACCATAACTTTAACTGCTTTATGCCACTATTTGAAGTTTCAGAAAGTGTGATACACTGGACATAGAAGGAGAATAGCTCACTCATCAAATAAAATTCAAGTTTTTTATTTTCATTATACTGACTACTTGTCTTTCTATATTTCAGTTGCTTGTTCAGAAAGAGAAATCACCCATGGAATCACCTTATCCCAGCCCAAAGAAACTCACGTTATCTGTTTGCCCCGGGAATCCTGTTTGCTATATACAATCAGGATATTCTGAATTATAATCAATGCTATAATTCATCTCATTTTTTTATGTTTTAAGGAACCACTTCAAATCACTGATGCTTTTGTTTGTAAACCAAAGCTAGAACACAAGAATAAAAACTGCCAATTACAAATGCACTTAAGACTTAATATAAAAAGACCATAGGCGAGACGGCTTATCGCGAGCTCCGCTGAGTGTTAGCCTAGACCAGCGATTTTTAAGCTGTTTTGTCTCAGTGCACACATAAACTACAATGACTAAAATTCTGTGGCACATCAAAAAGTACATTTTTTGCTGATCTGACAAGAAAATTTAGGCATGATTTTTATTCATTCACACTGGATGGCTATTGTGTTGGCTGTTATCATTTTTTCATTTGACAATCTAAGGCAAAAAAGCCAGTGCCCATGACTAAATATTCAGGTACTGAGTGTTTTAAGAATTCTTGCAGCACGCTGGATGAAAGTCACTGGCCAGACAGGCGTATCAGGTGTATCAAATACATAATCTTGCAGCTCGTGTACAGACATAACTGTTAGTAAGAATGCTACAAAGCAGTATTGTAAGTAGCTAAGAACAGGAGCTGTGGAGCCAGATGGCCCAGGTCCAAAACCAGACTCTACTACTTACTAGCTGTTGACCTTGGGCAGGCAGCTCAAACTCCCTGTGTCTTGGTTTCTCCCCATAAAATAAGAATAATTACTAGTATCCAACTCCCTGGGCTGTGTGAGAATCAGCACCGGCATTAGAATGGGGCTTTCCCAGCAAGTGCTAAGCATGTTGTTAGCTGTCTATCTCTAACGGGTCGTCCATGAAAATTACTTATTTTACATTTCAAATTTGTGAAACGTAGCCGCTACACCTGCATAGCAAAACCCCAAACCACCCCTGGCTCACGAACCCCACTGGTACTCAGCATCTCTGGCACCGAACACTTATCTGTTCACTCACCAGGTGGGACACAGGTGGACAGAACTATCGAGGACGTCCTGTTAGACATAGTATTTGAAGCAGAACAGAGTACTTTCTCTGAAAGGTCATCGTTCTTCAGATGCAACACAGGTGTCGTGCTTTCTCCACACTGCGGTGAGGAGCAATGCCAGGAGTAGGTTAATTTTTCCCGATGCCTGCTGTAACTTTCCGGGACTCCACACAGGACTTCAATGCTTTCATTAACCAGGCCGCATTGTAATGTCGGAGATGGAAGAGGGTCTGGGGAAAAAAAAGTCATATTTAATACAAAAAAGAGTAATATTTAGATTCTTCATCTTTAAATTTATGAAGAGCGCCCCACTTCCTTGGGAATTTGAAGGGATGAGCAGGCCACTTCCATGGGCGCCAACAGGAGAGACTTCTCTCTTCCCAGAGTCTGACCTTCCTGCTCCAATTCAGAACACACACAGGCCCCACACCCCTCGCTCGCACTTCTGAAAGCCTGAAGACCTTAGACGAAAGGGTGGCAAAGTCATTTAGCTGCCTACCCGCACCCAAACTGACATGAGGGTTTATAGCTTTTATTTTTCTCACTTACTTTAAATATTTATTACCGTGTTTTACTAAAACTAGTCACACGCTTGAGTACAGGGTGCTCCCTATAACTAAGTGGGGTGCTTCTTAACACACAGAGGAAAGCTAACTTATATTACCTTTCTAATATCTCAAAAACATTTAAGTCCAGAAGCTGCCTGACTCAAAGGGTTTTTGCAGAAAGTACTGCGGGCTGGCCCTGCGGCGAGGTGAGGGGGGCGTGGCACCTGTCAGGAGGCCTCCCTCCCACAATTCCTCCAGGAGGCGCCCCGCTGCCTGAGGCACCTGCACACCACAGGTTCGGACACACGTCACACTGCACCATCGTTGCCCCTAAAACCTTGATGCTGAGCTGTCCCATAGTTGTGTATTTAATTCATATGCCTTCCTGCCTCTCCACCTGCCCCCTAAAACTAATCATATGAGATCTGAGAAAACACGTACATATATGTGGAGTATGCAAAACAACAGTCACGGGACCACTTGGGTAATAAAACCCCAATACTTTATAAACACCTCCTAAAAAGCAAATTACAGCAGAGCTCACCAAGATGATGGAATAATATGCTGCCACTTAAAATACTATTTTCAAATACGAAGGAACACTTAAGCTCCAAAACATAACCTAAAAATAGAAGTGTCCAACTTGTCTTTCCTCTCCTACTCTCCCCCTAAACTCTTCCTCGCTCAGACACACGGCCTGCCTTGTCAGAGGCCCGAGGTGCACAGGACTCCCCTTGCTGCCTGGGGCAGCCTCAGTTTTTAGGTTTAATCTGGTTCACATAACTTGTTCTTCTGCCACCAAATTTTTCCTTAAAAGAAAGTTTAATCTTTTTTTTAAGGATGTTATTTATTTATTTTTAGAGAGAGGAGAAGGGAAGAAGAAAGAGAGGGAGAGAAACATCAACGTGTGGTTGTCCCTCGCACATCTCCCACTGGGGACCTGGCTGGCAACACAAGCATGTGCCCTGACTGGGAATCGAACCAGCGACCCTTTGGTTTACGGGCCCATACTCAGTCCACTGAGCCACACCAGCCAGGCCAGAAATTTTCATCTTTTTTAAGCACTGGAAACCTTTCTCCAAATTCAGTCTTAAGCAGCTGACCCTTCAAAAGGATAAGGAGTTGCTCTAGTGGCTTAAAAGTAGGGCACCCACAGCCCTTGGCCCCCAGACTCCTGGGGTCCACCTCGCCCACCACACCCCACTGCAGCTCCTGAGGCCCCTCCAGCTAAGAAACGGAAGTGCGTGACTGTTGCAGGCACTCACGTGCTTACGCCTGCCTCTGCCCTGAAGCTGGGCATTGCTCAGGGGCAGGAAACTGAGCTTCCCCTTCCTCAGACATGTTCTGTAGACACACTCTATAGATGCAGTTCTCCAGTGTCGGTGGGCATAAGAACCACCTGACGTGTGTGTTAAAAACCCAGGTTCCTGAGCCCCACCATCCCTGGTGATTCTGATGTAGGAGCCCCGTGTGCTCCGTCACAGACTCTGGTTTCTCGATCCAGCGAGGCCGTGTCTGGTCGTTCCTCGCTTTCCAAACTGAACAGAGGTTCAGGGAGCCCCTCGGGCTGGGAGCCTTTGGAGCGTAAAGACTATGTAATATTCGCCCCTTAGCCGCAGCACTTGACAGAGCACAGGCCACACAGTCGGCTCCTAAATAGTATGGTGGACGATGTTGGACACTTGGAGGGATGGAGGGATAGATAAATAAAGTCAGAGAGACAGTGTTCAAATTACTCTCTCCACTCTATACAATGTCAGTTCAATAGCTCACCTCCCACAAGCGACGGTATGGCGGCTGTGAGCACGGCCTGCCTGCCTGCCTGCCTTGGGTTCGCGTCCCGCTCTACTACTAAGAGCCACTTGACCCTGGGCAAGTTACTTAGTCCCTTGTGCCTAGGTTTCCTGTCCCATACATTAAGAAAACAAACCATATCGACCTTATACAACTGTGATAAGGATGAAATGAGTTGACAATCATAATAATGGAGCTCAAGGTCAGCAAGCAGAAGCGCCTCCTGACCTCCTGAGGGCGCGTGGTACAGTGAGCAGAGCCACTGACTGGGACTTGGGAGGTGAGAGTGTTAGCCCTGGCTTGCTGTGTGACCTCAGACCGCAGCTCTTGTAGGAGCTGTAAGACTTTAAAGAACCCATCCGGCCCGGGTTCCTGTTCTACAGATGGAGAAAGTCATGGCAAAGTCCATCTCCTTTTCATCTGTAAAAGGGAATACAATACTTTATAAGGTCATCATAAAGGTCAAGTGGGATATAAAATGCTGTGAGGGGAGACACGTGGAAGTGCTAGTAGTATCTTCTAGGTCATTCAAGGCCACTTAGCTATACGGAAGCTCTGCCTGTGTAAGTCTCATTATACCACCATCATCACATACCAAAGCTGGAACAGCTGAGCCTACTGCTCACCAAAAAGCATGCAAACCTTTCTGCAGCATCTGGCTCAGACCAGCACCTCTGATCTATAGCCTTCATATTCTCTCACTACCAGGGGACTTACCACTGCTGTATCTAACAGAGTTACAGCTGTACCTTAAGCAGCATTACACAGACAGGAAATGTGCCTACTTCATCCCCTAAGATAACTTAGTTGCTTTATAATTAACCAATTCAGCTCTCTACTCTGTAAGAATTTCTTTTATATACATGAGATGGCATTTGTAGATCTCCATTAACTTTAATAAAAGGTTATACACCAGTCTGGACCACTTAGGGAGAGAGCAGTTAACTCTACTTATGTGGACATTACCAACACAATAAAGGTGGTGAGGGGATGTGAAAGAACTAATAAATGTTATTAGTGGAAATTCTAAGGGGACTTTGCAGGAAAAGGGAAAGCTAGGCAGCAACTTATACATAGAAAGAAGAGGTGCCAGGAAATCCCCACTTCTAAAATACCCATTCTGAAAGGCTTCCGTTAGGTCCGGTGGCTCCAGAAGAATAATGTCAAGTCACTTACGCACACCCTTGAAGTGTGGCTTCCTCATTTCTAAGAAAAAGAGTATAACCAACCATTTTGCCATTCAAGTATGAAACCTTGAGTCATCTTACATCTTATTATAGCACAATCTCAACATCGTTGACTTTTTCTTGGTAATATCTTCTGATTCTTTGCTTTCTAAACAACTATTACCAATACCTGGTAATAGTTGAAGAATCACAGTAGCTTCTAACCTGGTGTCTCTTCTTAATTCATCATAAACACCTACCAAATGATGAATCTTCCAAAAATAAATTTCATCGAGTCACACCCCTGCGTCAGGATTGGACACAGTGGCTCCTCACTGCCACAGGCTAAAATCAGTATTCCCAAACCAGGGCCCGAAGTCCCGCATTTAATACGACTCGTGTCACTGCTCACTGATGGACACTCGCCTCCCCGTACTCGCTCCTCTGCAGGCCTTCGCCGAGCTTCCGAAGGGCTGCCAGAGTCCGCACAGCAGGGGAAGTGAGCTTCAGACAGGAGGGGCCCCCGACACAGACAGTGGAGGGATCAAAATTACCAGTAATGGCAAGTTCCTGGGGGCTGTAAGTACATGGAGAGGGCAGCAAGGCCTGAGAAATCGGGACATTAAAAATACCTTTTATTTAAATGTTACTGTCACCAAGAATTATGGCAGCAGAAACAGTGAAATGAACCAGGTAGGAAAATGATCAAGAAAGACTGGGGCGGTGTTCACTGCGGCATTGTGTGCAATACAAGACATGGAAACAAGCTAAGTGTCCATCGGCAGGTGAATGGATAAAAAAGTTGTGGTGTATATATACACAACGGAATATCATTCAGCCATAAAAAAATAAAGAAATCCTGGGACTTGAAATATTGGTAAAGTCTATCCCCTATACTGTAAATATTGGTAAAGTCTATTGAATATTGAATGTAACGTGTAATAGAATATAAACTGTTAAGTCTATCCTCTACACTGTATACCCAAAACTAATACAAAATAATACTGAATGTAAACTGTAACTGAAAAGTAAAATTTAAAAGGGGAATATCCTACCATTTGCAACAACATGGGTGGGGCCATGTGGCATTACGTTAAGTGGAATAAGTCAGAGAGAGAAAGACAAATGCTGTCCTGCACACTCACTGATGTGTGGAGTCTAAAAAAGGAAGAACCACCAAACTCAGAGGAAGAAGAGATCAGAGGCGACGGGGAGAGGGAGAGGCCCTGGAGGAAGTGGCACGAAGGTCCAGACCTCCAGCACAAGGAATGCAATGTCCAATGTGACGGTGACACTCACCACTGCTGAACAGTACTTAGGAAAGTTGTTAGGAGTGCTCAACTCAAGAATAAAACTTTTTATCCTGTATCTTTTCTTCTTCCTTTCCTCCTTAGTGTCTCTCTGTGAGAAGACAGGGGTTAGCCGAACCTGTGGCACTCATCATTTCACAACCTGTGTACGTCACACCGCTGTGCCGCACGCTGGAAACTCATCCAGTGAGGCATGTAAATTATTTCTCAGCAACATGGCAACAAACAGCACTGGGGGGTTCTCACACACCTACAGACAACTGCGATGTGGAAGGAACTTTAGAGATGACAGAGGGAGAATACCCTGGAAGCACCAAGGGGAAGCGTGGGGCAACCTGTAGTGTATCTCCAGCTCCAGTTTAAGGTGACAGAGAAAAAGCACTCTTGGGTGGGCTGCAGGAGGAGATGGAAACTCGAACCTACAGAGCACCATCACCTATCCGTAGAGCTCAGACATCTGAGTTCACTGCTGCCACGGCATCTTTTGCCGGTACGTTGTCCAGTGGTGCTGCTCCCCTCACCTGGGCCACATCCTCGCCTTGCCCAGAGGATGACGTGGGAGCTAAGAGAGGCACAGTGTACCAGAAGGAGAGGAAAACTCTGCCTGTGTGTGGTAACAAACTGCTTTACTTCCCACAAGCCATTAATTTGTATACGTCTCTTTAAAAAGTTGGAACTTTGCCATTTTAAACAAACCAAGTTATGTAATACTCACCAAAGACTATAAGCTTAAATTTCATGCCAGTCAAAGAGGGTAGCATTTCGACTTCATATTCGCCTTCATCTGATGATGTTAAATTTGAGATGTGGAGGTCCCCTGAGGCGTTGCCTAAATGAACCCTACCATCAAAAGGTGGGTAAGACTTGACGCCGTCTGAATCCCACTCGATAACTTTATTCTTTCCTTTCTTCCACGTGACCTCCATTAAGTCTTTGGTATTTGATGGAGACAAACTGACATTCCCGCTCACAGTTCCCAAAACTATAAATGGTGGTGGGCCCTGACAGCTGTTGAAATCTGGAAGAACAAAATAATTGGTTAGAAAAAACAGCATCACTTTGTCGAAAATAGAAAGCCATCTTCCAAGATGCTCTTTGGGGAAAGGCGTTACATGGAGTGGTAAAAATGATCCATCAGCTACTTTGTGTGCTAAGCTGAGAAAAAGTGCAGGAAGTGACAGGTGCTTGACCATGTGGAAATTACTCTTTAATTGGGGCCGACGTAAACCCAGGAGGTGGAGCCAACATTTATGGGGCACAAACTGCATGCCAGGTATTATGGGCAATGTGGGGAATATGGCAGCGAAGAAGACAAGTATCACTCCAGGCCCTCAAGGAGCCTCACCTTGTGGAGAAGACGCTGGGAAGGCAAGGACAACCACCTCGGTAAGGGCCTTCACCCCGGAAGTCATGCTGAAAGTGACACAGGATGACAGATCACTGAAGGGTGAGAGGAGTTAGCCAGCTGAGGGCTGGATAAGCGGGGCGGGGAGAGTGGAGATACAGGTGGAGGAAGCAGCACTCCAAAGGCATGTCCTGACCAAGGAGCTGGGCCTGTTGGAGTAAACAAAAGCAATTCCAATGGCTGAAATGAAGAGACCGGCGGGGTAATGAGTGGGGAAGGGGCTGCAGAGGAGGCAGTGGAGGGTCAGAACTGGTACGTGAGCAGGGGCTGCAGGGTGTCAGGTAAGACATGCTAAGGGTTTGGGACTTACCCTTGTTAGGGCAGTGGCAAGGGACAGCCACAGAGAGGTTGTGAAGTAAAGGCAAGCATGATGTGACTTTGTTCCCATAGGCTGACTGCAGAGTGAGCAGTGCTTGGCAGGTACAAGCACAGAGGTAGGAAGAGCAAAACAGAGGCAGCGCGGTAGCAAGGAGAGAGTGGCAGATGGGGCAGACCAGACTCGGGATGCACGAGTGGACAGACTCAAGACCCACATGACAGAGAAATCACAGGGGTCCACCGACTCCTGGCTGTGGGGGACGAGGGGGAGAGAAGAGTTAATGGTGACTGTCAGGCAAGCCTCTTTCTTGGCCGACAGAGGAGCTATTGAGGTCAGAAACAATGACAGGAAGGAAGTCAGGTTATGGTGAAGATTAAGGTCGCGGGGACTACAGTGGCATGCTAGAGCCAATTCAAACCTGCTGTCACAAGCCTCAGTTGGCATCTCTGATTGACTCCAGGCAGGTCGTACTAGTGGGAGTACTGTCAACGAAGGCTGGCCAAGGGAGGACCCAAGATGGTGGCCCAGTAAGTGGAAGTTACACTAACCTTCTCCCAGGAACAACTGGAGTTACAACCAGATTATATAAACATCATCCTGTATAACCAACTGAAGGCTAGTTGGAGAGAAGCCTCATAACCAAAGACTGACAGAAGAAACCATACCACCACATGGAGACTGATGGAAAGTGTGGGGGCAGGAGAGGGTTGGCTGGGCTCCCATGGGCAGCAGCTGAAATTCGAGAGGCTCCCAAGCTTAGAGCACCAGAACCAGAAAAACTGCCCACGTAACATCCCAGTGTGAAAAGCAGCGAGATTTCTGTCTGCCAGTAGGAGACAACTAGAGACGCAGACACCATTTTAAAGAAACAACACACAAGGTTTTGTTTGCAGCCACTTACCCTGGGCTCTGGCAGAGGGAGGGCAGAGTGGACTAGTGCCACATGAAGAGAGTCTGGGGTTGGTGGCTCTGGTGAGAGAGCTGAAGCATCAGCTGCTAGGATAGCTGTAGTCATCGTTCCCCATACTGTAGAGGACATCTTTCTCAGGCAGAGAACTCCCCTCCACCTGGCATAGCCAAGGGGGAAGCAATAGCCCCACCTGCACAAAATCCTCTCACCCTACCACATGGAGCTTAGCCCCTGCTAAAGAGTTCAGGTGGAGGTTCTTTCAGTGATTAAGCCTAACAGGCAGCCTACAGGTGAAGGCAGATCTCTGGGTGCTTTGAGACTTTAGCTGGTGCACCACAGAACCTGGTGTTGGTAAGAGCCAGCCTTGGTCCACAGATTGGTCCTTTTCAAATGTGCCCAGGACCAGCAGAAGGAACCACAAGCTGTGGATCACTGATAGCTCCAATAAGGTTGCCCAGGTCCAGTAACAGGCAGTGTCCAACTAAGGACAGAGTCTTTGCATATCTACCTAATACATAGAAACGAACAAAAAGAGGCAGCTAAAGTGGGAATATGAAGAAACAGGACTGAGATGAATGAAGAGAACTCTCCAGAAGAAGAACTAAATGAAATGGACACAAGCAATTCATCAGATAAAGAGTCCAAAGTAGTAAGTATAAGAATGCTCAACAACATAAAAAAAAGACATAGAAGCCATAAAAAGGACTAGTCAGATAAAGAATGCAATACCTAAAATAAATAATACACAAGGAGAAGTAAAAAGGAGATTAGATAAAACAGAGGATGGAATCAGTGATTTAGAAGACAAGGTAGAAAAAAATACTCAATCAGATTTCTGGTAAAGATGGCAGCATGGGTAAACATGGTTCACCTCACACAACCACATCAAAATTACAACTACACTATAGAACAATAGAACAGCCATCACTCAGCACCATCAGAAATCAAGTTGAATGGAAGTCCGACAATTATGAAATTAAAGAAACCACATTCATCCAGACAGGTAGGAGGATAGAAACACGGATCAGACTGGTCCCACTCCCATGGGTGGTAGATAAATATTTAGGAGGGATATCACAGGAGCAGGGAGTCCAGCCCCACACCAGGACCACCCCCCACCACAGAAGGCAGAGGTTGGTGGTCAGTGGTCACAGCCAGTCCTTTCAGCTGACTGGTCTGGGTAAATACCTTCACATTGCTTGACCTGCCTACAGCAAGCAAGGCTCAAATACAAGAGGACAGGTGTACTCAGCCCACACAAAGGGTGCACCTCATGTACCAAGCTTGGGTAATACAGGAGGCTGTGCCACTGGACCCTATAGGACACCTACTACATTAGGCCATGCTAAAAAGACAAAGAGTCATAGCAGCTCTACCTAATACATAGAAACAAACACAGGGAGGCTGCCAAAGTGAAGAGACAAAGAAACATGGCCCAATGAAAGAAAAGGTCAAAACTCCAAAAAAAGAACTAAGCAAAATGGAGATAAACAATCTATCAGATTTGGAGTTCAAAACACTAATTATAAGGAGGTTCAAGGAACTTAGTGAGGATCTCAATAGCATTAAAAAGATCCAGTCAGAAACAGAGGATACACTATTTGAAATAAAGAACAATTTACAAGGAAACAACAGTACAGTTGATGAAGCCAAGAATCAAGTCAATGATTTGGAACATAAGGAAGCAGAAAACAACCAATCAGAACAAGAAGAAGAAAAAGGAAAGCAATAAAAACGAGGATAGTATAAGACACCTCTGGGACAACTTCAAAAAGTCCAACATTTGCATCATAGGGGTGCCAGAAGGAGAAGAGAAAGAGCATGAAATTGGAAATTTATTTGAAAAAATCATGTAAGAAAACTTCCAAATTAGTGAAGGGAATAAACATTTAAGTCCAGGAAGCACAGAGAGTTCCAAACAAGATAGATGCAAAGAGGCCCACTCCAAGACACATCAGAATTAAAATGCCAAAAGTTAAAGAGAGAATCTCAAAAGCAGCAAGAAAAAAGCAGTTAGTTGCCTACAGGTGAGTTTTCATAAGACTGTCAGCTATTTGAGCAGGATTTCTCAAAAGAAACTTTGCAGGCTAGAAATATTCAGTCTTGAAAAGCAGGGAGCTACAGCCATGATTGCTCCACCCAGTAAAGATATCACTTAGAACCAAAGGGCAGATAAAGAGCTTCCCAGACAAGAAAAAACTAAAGGAGTTCATCACCACCAAATCATTATTATATGAAATGTTGAAGAGGCTTATTTGAGAAAAAGATCAAAACGATGAACAGTAAAATGGCAATAAATACATAGCTATCAACAACTGAATCTGAAAAACAAACTAAGCAAACAAGAAGAACAGAGAATCATGGATACAGGAAGCATTTGATGGCTGCCATATAGGAGGAGTATGAGGGAATGGGGGAAGAGGGGAGGGGATTAAGTAGTACAAATAAGCAGTTACAGAGTAGCCATGGTGATGTAAAGTTCAGTATAGGAAATGGAGTAGCCAAAGAGCTCATATGCTGTGAATAATGGTGTGAGGATTGACTGAGGGGGTGGAAGGGGCTGGATGGAGATGGGCAAAGTGGGGAAAATTGGAACAGTTATAACAGCATAATCAATAAAATATAATTTTAAAAAAATCATCCAAGAAAAAACCACTTAATCAGAGCAGGAAAAAGAAAATTTCAAAAATGTGGATAGTTTAAGGGGCCTTTGGGACAACATGAAGTGTAACAACATCCACACCACAGGAATACCAGCAAGAGAATACAGAGAGCAAGAATTTCAGAACCTATTTGAAGAAATAATGTCAGAAACCTCCCCTATCCTGGTGAAAGGAAATGGCACAAAGGCCCAGAAAGTGTGGGGACTCCCAAACAAAACAGATCTAAAGAAGCCCTCACCAAGATACATCATATTTTAAAATGGCAAACCTTAATGGCAAGGGGAGAATCTTAAAGATGCAAGAGGAAAGCAGATAGTTACCTACTAGTGACCTCCCATAAGAGTGTCATCTGATTTTTCAACAGAAACATTTCAGTCCAGAGAAGATTGGCATGAAATTTTCAAAGTGATGAAAAGCAGGAACCTACAACCAAGGCTACTTTACCCAGCAAGGTTATCATTTAAAATGGAAGAAATAAAGAACTTCCCAGACAAGAAGATGCTAAAGGAATTTGTTACCACCAAACTAGTATTGCAACAAATGTTAAAGGCCTTGATTGAAGAAGAAACAAAAAACAGAAGAAAATAGCTAATAAATAAAATGCCAATAAATATTTATCTATCAATAATCACTTTAAATGTAAATGGATTAAACTGTCCAATCAAAAGACAAAGAAGAGCTGAATGGATAAGAAAACAAGACCCATATATATGTTGTCTTC